GAAGGTCTTGGGCTCTTCATTTCTGGCTCTCATTCTCTGAACATAAATTTGTTTGTTTTATGTTGTTTTTCCAGACAGGGTTTCTCTGTAGCTTTAGAGCCTGTCCTGGAACTAGCTCTGTAGACCAGGCTGGCCTCGAACTCACAGAGATTCGCCTGCCTCCCCAGTGCTGGGATTAAATTAAGGCATGTGCCACCACGGTTTGTACATTTTTTTTTTTTTTTGTACATACAAAACAGCAGACTTCAGGGAATAAAAAAGTGTTGCAGAAGCTGTTTCTCAGGGTCATAATACATTCCTTGAGTAAACAACAAGGGACAAACTTTTGGAGAGTGCTTCTTGCCAGCTGTCTGATTGGTACTGGGTTATAAAAGGGAGTTCTAGCTACAGTGTTTCCAAAGGGAGACAGCTAGCTGGCTACAGTGTTAACTTCTCAAGGAGACAGGTTGCCAGTTACAGGGGAAAAAATCTAAACTACAGGGAAGTCAAAGAAGGGAGCCTGTACTAACCTACATTTATTAGATGTGATTAACAGTACAAACTAACCATTTAGATTAATAAAGCATGAAGGTGAGCCGGCCAGTGGTGGCACATGCCTTTAGTCCCAGCACTTGGGAGGCAGAGGCAGGTGGATCTATATGAGTTCGAGACCAGCCTGGTCTACAAGAGCTAGTTCCAGGACAGGCTCCAAAGCTACACAGAGAAACCCTGTCTCAAAAAACCAAAATTAAATATATAAAAGATAAAGCATGAAGGTGTCTGTTTTTTCCCCAGGCCCTGACAGGAGAGCGTTGGGTCCGCAGCTGGAAGCAGTTTGCTAACAGCCAATAGGCTGGGAGGGAGGGGTAGCAAGCTTCTGTAAGCAACCATGACAAGCCGGGTAAAGCAAGGGGTGCAAGCGCATATCAGCACTTTCGGCAGAAAAGCTGACTATGAGAAGACATCCTAAATCCAAATTATTTCCTTGTCCTACATGTAGCCCCAGAGCATACTGAGCGAGTTGCAGGAGGGAAGTTTGTAACTTTTTATTCAAGGCTGTGAGGCCATGCTATTTCTGACAGCCCCTGGCCATTTGTGAAGCCTTCCCCATTGTGAATGGCATACAAGCCAGTTTCCCTCCAGACCTGGCTAATTGATTAATTCATTTCTCCTGTTAATCATAAAAACTTCAGCGCTTAAACATATCCGGTTGGTTATCTGATCCTAGGATTCTGTGCTATGAACCGAGGTTAGAAGTTCTTGCAAGGTGTTAATTGCTTAAGGAGTTCTGCCATTTCCGCCGTCCTTGCGTTATTACCAACTGGGCCTGGCAATAGAAGCTGGCAAGTGTTTTAGATCCCTCTGTGTCTAAGACTGATTCAACAAACCAGACATCTGCACCTCCGTCGTTGAGTATTCTCTGTGGAAATCTAGCTTGCAGTCGGTGCACAGAGACACTCAGTCTAGCTAATTTGTCTCCAGTTGACTTGTCAAGCCAGCTAAAGATGGAAAAGAGGCTTCTAAGTGTCTCACCATTTCATGGAACAACGGCTAACCCATGGAGCATATTTTATTCACCAGAAGTACACAGTAAAGGAGGAAGTCATCCTTCTATCGGATCACAGGAGCAACCGTGCCCAATAGCTAAGGAACACACTGCCTGCCAATGGTTGTGGGAAGAATCCCATGCTATTTTAGGGGAGGGATCATGGTATCACACGAGAAATTTACAGGCAGAATCAATCCACATCCGCAGGTAATGGACTCATAAACCTTGTTTACCCTCCTCCAATGGGGTGGGTTTGACCTTATGAACATCAGTTGTCATGTACTGTGTGTTCTTATGGACTTCCACACTGAGCACTGAGTGCCCTTAGTGCCACTGGGCCAAAAGAGAGGCAGCTACAGGGCCACATTCCTGCCCTGAGACAAGGTGTTGTGGGTGACGCAGTCCTAGCTAGGGGCCTGCTTTCCCTTTGAGGAAGGCATCAATCATCCTGAAACCCAGAAGCTGTGTTTCAGCAATGAAGGAGGACCTTACAGCACCAGTGCCTGCTCTGGACTCAGCTGTGGCCCTGATTACTCTGAGTTTGTAACTCTATGCACCTATGACCATCGCCCTAGGAAATGGTCTCTGTAGCTGAAGCTAGTTAAATTCAGAGAATGTGGTACTCGGTCAGGGTAGGCCCTACGCCCAACATGGAGACACAGGGTGGCAAGCTCAGTTGTCAACACCTGAGTAACATGCATGAAGGCCTAGGTTTGAACTCATGCACCACACAAACCAGTGTCTTAGTTACTTGTCAATCATGTGGTGAGGTGCCAAGACCATGGCAACTCTTCTACAGGAAAACATTTGTCTGGGGCTGGCTTACAGCTCAGAGGTTTAGTCCACTATTAACACAGAAGAAGGAAGGTTTTGCTCTTTGCCT